AAAAGAACGGAGTTCTTCAGATTTTCGAAAGATTCCTGCAGAATGCGGCGGGAAAAGTGCTTCTTTTCCTGCAGAAGACTTTCACTTCCCGCGTGAAAATGTTTCATTTTTCCCCCAGGAACTTGCGAAATCACGCTCGTTTTTTTTCACTGGGTAGTGCGTAACTAGAAAAAGACTAAATTTTCTCAATATGACGATGTTCAATAAAGAATAATTTAATATCCATTTTTCCTTTAGTTCCAAAATATTGTGAACAAAAGTTTTTTGTTTGTATTCATATATATTCAAAAATTGTTTAACGTACTTTGAAAAAATTTGGTGCTGTAAGAAGTATTAATGAACTAAATATAACTGTTAATGCTGTGAATAGGATTAAACATAATCGATCAATAACCATAGCCGAAAATTTCCAATCTAGAGAAACTTCTTCTTCATCTTTTTCCTCTCGAATATTATTTGATACATAATAAAGTTCATGTGAAATTGTTTTTAATTCATTTTTGAGTAAATTTATTTCTTGTGATATCCAATGAGTATTATCTACTTTTATATTATTTGACGTAGTTGTTGGAAATTTTTTATATTTTGGATATTGTAAACCAAATAATATTAATGGTTCATCTGTTTCTGTTACATTAGCTAATAAACTTTTAGATGAATTTGCTAATAAACCTTCACTATTATTTGATGCAGATCTATGAAAACGGCGAATTGTTCTCAATGATAAATCATGTCCAGGACGTTCCATTCGAAGCATCCATGCCAGATAATGACAGATATAAAGTCGAATCTAGTATAATAATAATAATAATAAAACTCTCACAGTGTATTAATTAAGAGATCCCTCAGAAATAAAGGAGGACTACTATTATCTCCGACACCATACATTCGATTTTGGTCAAATTTTTCGTAAATACTAGGTTTAATGAGTTACGGGAGTGAAAAATTTTTTTTATCTCGAAGTCTTATGTTTTAGAAGTTTTCCAGAGATCAAGATTCACAATGGATCCTGAAGCTTCTCCCAAGATTTTTTAATATACTTCAAGCTGAAGAGTCCGGATTTATTTTATTTTAAACCAGATATCTAACTTCATGGACTGATCGACGCCGATTTTTCAGTTAAGCCTTTATTAGTTTTCCAAGCAATCAGCAACCGCCAGAACCCAAAAAATCCTATCGGATTTTCTAAAAAGCCTCTATTTGACAAAAAACTAAGATCTAATTCAAAAATCAGACCATGTAGTGTCTTTTCCTCTTTTGAACAAAAACAGAATGAGCTCTCTAAGATAAACCGCTATAAAAATCTTGAGAAACACTTTAGGTATAACTTATATGGAGAAAAAACGCTGTACAAAATGCTCAGTTCTAAGACTTGTAGGAAAATACCTGTAACTTTTTGATACAGAGTCACACAAAGTTGTGCGAGGTCTTATTTTGATCAGAAAAGTTTTCTCTACAAATTTGTACGTTCAGAAAAGATTTAATTACATAAGTATCGAGGAAAAAGCTATTTTTGAAGACCGGATTTTAGGACCTCCTAAAAAACTTGCTTGAAAGTCACGAAAAATCACTTATATAACCGAAAGTGATACAGATTATGAAAGTAGACACTTCAGTCTATGCTCCCATGTGTTTATCTCAAACTGATTTTTTGACCGAAAATCATCATTTCTGAACTGGGGCGGGGTTTCCTTTTAAAAAAAAAGAAGAAGTTTTGATGCTTTTACCCAATGAGGCATAATATGATTTTTTGCATTTCGATGATGAAGTAATAGTACAATGACAGTGGCTACGATAGATAACGATGAAATAATCATAACACAGATAAAATAAGTAACTAAATGCAAATCAATTCTATGATGATAAAATTAATTTAACAAAAAAGAAATAGTTTAACATACCAATAGTGGGTACGGCAAATGAACTGGCTGGTATAATACCAGAAATTAATAATGAAAACATAACAATTGAAAGCATAATTGTAATTTCTAAATTATAAGAAAGCATAAGTATTATAATATATGTTTTTTTTCATAAAATAACCTACGTAAAGTTAATTTTTCGCCAGAATCAGGTGGTAAAAGATATCCAAAAGTGGTCATAAATGATAACATAATACATGGAATAATTATGTTGATCATATAGTATAATGTTCTTCGTCGAATTTGAAGTGTAAATAATACATATGGATATATTGTTGGACAACAATCGTATTTGACAGCTGATCTTTTGGCATAAAATCCTTTTAAATAAATGACAAGGATGTAAAGTTTTTGCTTAAAATAGATTAAAAATCATACTAACCCTGTAAATCCCATTCAGCACTTTTCACATAAGCATCTAACTGTCCTTCATTATCTTCTGACGTCAAATTTAATGCTAAGAGAAACATATTCAATGATTTTCTATGTATTTTAGTATTAAAAAAACATTCTTATCTTACTAGCTTCGTCAAATGTCCACGATCCAAATTTTAGCGTACAATTTTGTGTATCCGAAAAATGCGTAAAAGAAGTAAACAATTTTTATTGTTTAATAAAATTCTCTTTTAGATTGAAAATTCTCTTATCAAAATGTTGAGAAGTGTCAATCATTAAGGAGATTTTTCTTACCAAATGGAAAATCTGAAATATCGACTGGACAAATTGATTTAAATATTCCTGGAGGAGCAAAGAGAATTGAACCATTAGATTGAACGACTAAATTTGTTTTCATCGTCGCATCAAATTTTTCATCGGCGCTGGAAAAAAAAGAAGAATTAATTGCGGTACATAATCAACGTTGGATTTACTTTTCGAATGAACTTCTACAAAGCTTATGGAAGTGCTTTTAGTCAAAAACTGAGTTTTTGAAAAGAAGGTTTCATCTGTTCTTTATAGAATGTAAAAGATCACAAGGTGGTACAGTAAGAGGTGGTACACACGAGAGAACATTCCCAAATGTCAAACCGCTTTCGAGTCGAAATCTAGCGGACTTTAGCTAGTCGACCATGCTGATTCCGAATATTAACATGAGGCGAGCTGCTAGGCCACAGGAAACTGATTTTCTGGAAGACCAATTTTTCAAACTCTAAAAAGTAACCAAAACCTTTCTTAATGAGGTATAGTTGTAGCTCTACATGATCTTTCTTTGCAAAGTTATAGAATTTACAAGAAAAGCCCTAAATGTTGATTAACAGCTCAAAGCCACAGAAATAAGAAATTAATTTAGGGTTTTTCTTGTAAATTCTATAACTTTGCAAAGAAAGATCATGTAGAGCTACAACCATACCTCATTAAGAAAGGTTTTGGTTACTTTTTAGATTTTCTGAAAAACTGGCCTTCCAGAAAACCAGTCTCCGGTAGCCTAGCAGCCCATCTCATGTTGGTATTCGGTATCAGCATGATCGACTACCTATAGTCCACCAAGTTTTGGCTCGAAAGCGATTTGACCATTGGGAACGTTTCCTCGTCAGACGTGTGAAACTTTTAAGCTTTTCAGGATATTGAGGTAGAGAAAGACGATGCTAATAGTCAATAATACCTGTTGTAGAGTAGAATATCAGGTGTCCATACTCTTAAACTAGGTAAACGAATAGTGCTTATGTTTCCAAATTTCTCAGGTTTCCATCTCAACGCGTAATCGTTCCAACTCTTAAACGAAAATAGAAAAGATGAAACAGAGAATCGTTTTTCCTGTCCGCAGTTGTCTATACCGTACCAAAACCATCCAACCACTAAGTAAGATTATTTCATTCTTTTCGTCCTAAAAATTGAAGTTTTAATTCGGTTTTAATAAAACATCTTAAAAAATGTAATACTTCACGGTTTTTACTTTTACAATGTTAGAATTCTATATTAGTTTCCTACCGATATACTTCACGCTTTCTTTTGTCACGTCTTTTTTGGTCCACACTTTTTTTCATATAAAAGTTGTGACAGAAAAGAATTGGCAGACGTCTACACACTATAAGTTACATAATTTCGAATAATTATAATACTGATCTTCAGTGCTAGTCCTCCAGATGGGTATTATTTCCCTGGCAAGTTTCAATGAATTGTTCACCAACGGAGAGAAAAATGAAAAGATTCTAAGGTTTTGTGTTGAAACTACTACTATTTATATATGAATCATTGAGACAAGAAAAAGAGGTAAGTGAATTCTATGAGAACAAATTTTTCTCTCGTGTCTTGTTTTGTGTACATATGAGTTTCTACATTTTTCCTTACGACTATGCCGTTCATGGTTTTTTTACCACGAGTTTTATTTCACGCTTTATTACACGTTTTTTTCATGTAGCCATACTTTTATAGTAGGTTCTTTAGATGGAACTTGTAAGCAGCAAAAATGTCGTCATAGCAAAAACCGAATGGATTACAAATTTTCTTTCTGTAATTATCCTTTCGTTGTTTCATCTGAATTCACTTTCGAACATGACTCATCATTCACCTCTCTCTCAGATAAACGATATTTACCAGATCTATAATTTGCTGAAGTGCAAGGTTCACAACGACATCTAATGTATCGCTGTCATTTAGCACTGGACGTTCCAATGGGTCATAATGATTGTCCTCGAATAAATACTTCAATAATCGACGTTGATCGTCGCCGCACACTAAAAATAAGAGATTTACAATATATCACAACTGTCGAACCATATAGTTTCATTCTTTTAGGCAAAAGTCCCGCACTCTCGTGAGCAGTTAATGCTAGAAGGTAAAGCAGACGTTCATTTCATTTCTTTCTTCGGTTCTTTTCACGAAGTGATTTATTTCTCTTTTGAAATAAAGATAGTAGTTTCAATTTAGAAAGTGGAGAGGGTAACAACTTTTGTCTACAAATGAATGCTAAGTGGAAGCAACAACAACCGTCTAATAACAGTCAGCAGACCAAAACAGTTTATTATACGATGAGCTACTTTAAAAAGAAATTACTAACATCTGATGAACTCTACTTTACGATAGACATTGTCATGTACAAGTAGCTTTTTATCTATTCAAAAACGATCGAATGCTGGTTCAGCGTAGAAACTTGTGTAGTGATTACCGTGTAAGGACTGTGATCAAGTTACATTACAGGGTTAAGCACCCCCACAGAAACCTGTCTGAGTCCAGGTAGGTCTGATCTGAACCAAACTTTCAGGGAAGCTTGACCATGTCAAAGTGTGGGAACGAAATTTTTTTTTTAGCACTACTTGCAACTGTTCCTGAGAGGGCGCCACGACAAGGGCCAACAATAGGCATTTACCATGCACAAGAAGTCTCACTCCAGATAAATGATGAAGAGCTCGGGCGGCTTTCGTTTTACAGTAAGCACCTATGCCTAGGAGTTGATAGAGCTCGATTTTTGAATTTCTCGTTTACTGATTTCTGGTGCTAAACAGAACGTTAAAGTCCGGAAAATCCTTGGAAGGTTTCTATCTAGATGCTCGCGGAGCTGAATCTAGATAAATAACTCAAAAAATTGGGCCGTTTTTGCTTGGGATAGAAGAATGACGCTGTAGCTTTGCAGCAGAAATGTTGATTTTTCCCACACTTACTCTAAAAATAAGATCAGAAAGTAGATGTTTATATGATCAAGATTTCCCCCACTATTCCCTAAGTCATGCAATTAACAGAAAGCCATCTTTTGTGTGATTTTATCAAGAGGAAAACACTTGAATTTTGAGCTTAAAAAATCGTCTTAAATCGAAAAACACCAACATTGCTAAAAATCAGTGAAATTGATGAAAATCACTGAAAATTGGTGTTTTTTATTAACAGACAAGAATTCAACGTTGTCTGCTGATCGTTTGTCTCGCGTAATGCAAATGAGCAAAAAATAACATTAACATTTCTTTTATCTTTTTTTTCTTGACTTTCACTATGTCTGATTCCTATTTTGTATAAATAAGGCAGGTTTTGCACTACTTATCGCGGTCTTTCCTAAACAAATCAAAGGAAATCGGAAAAAATCGATGAAAATCAGTGAAAATCGGAAATAATCCAAAAATCAGCTGTTTGTCCCTTTGATTTTATACTTCTTACCTTTTTATATATAGTCCATTTGTTGGACTCTATGTAGAATGTTTCTAACTAGATTTTGCGAAAATGCCTCATAAAACTGTATTTCGATGTAAAAACATTTACTAGTTGAATTTTGTAACGTTTTATCTGATATTAATTCACTGTAAAATACTGAACTGTAACGAATAAGAATCAGATAAAAGAAGACAGTTGCACTCATACTTCGGACACCGTAATAAAGCTTGAAGATCCATCGTCAGTTAAAGAAATAAAGAACTTTTTTCTCTGAAAAACACAATGTGGTGCACACATTCCCTCTCCCCCTTACTGCATAGATTTTTCTTACTGTCTCATATAATCAGTCGTCTCTGACAGAACTAATTAATTCTTTATTGATACTTCTGATTTTTTTTAAAACTATTCCCCAAAAGATATTTGACACACTTAAAAATCACGTCTTCACTCCGTGAATTTTATGTTTTAGCGTTATCCGATCTGGGCGTATATAGTGTGAGTTATGAAAGGGCTAAAATACACTTCCAAGCTCTTCCAGTACTTAGAGTAAAATGCTTACTACAAAACTCATTATTATCAACTTCGATAACGTTTTAGAAATATACGAAATTTTTCAGTATTAAGTAACACAAACTCTCTTAATATAAAGTTCTTTTAAAAAAGATGTCACAAAATTACAGATTAATATAGATGTTAAATAATAATAACTCACTTGTACAGGACAAGTAATAACATAGCCAAATATATGATAAAAAGATAATTTTTTTGTTGCTTATGTTCATGTTACATCTATCATTAGATATTATTTAAAAAATCTCGCTCTATCGTACTCAAAGGTAATACTAAATACTAGTTCTAACTATAACAGAAAAACAATATCATACACATATGGAAATACAGTCTGAAAAGGCGATTATTATTTATTTTATTACACATTACAATAATAACGGTATATTGTGACAGAAGGATATATTAAAGGAATCATAATTTTATTCCAGTATATGACCTTTTGAGCAAAAGAAAAAGGAGTATCTGTATATTAATGATCTTTTTTTGTTAATCGAAAAAATAATTACCAAGGAAAGAATTATTTTCAAGAACAAAAAAGGATATATAATTATATTAATAACAAATATTTTTTTGTCTATGTATAAAAACTCGACTAGAACAAACTGTGCTTATCGAAGCTTATATTCTTCTGTATGTTTGTTAATACCACTCAGAAATACTATTATTCTACGAAATTAAATCATGTAGAAAATAATAACGAATCCAATTTGATGGTAACAAAAACATTGTAAATTGAAGAAATAACGTTTAAAATATTCCATCATTGCATTTTGCCTAATAACATTTATCGTTTAAAAATTACCCCAGTTCGTTGTTACGGCAGAACATAATTAACAGATCTGTAGTCAACAAGAGCATCAGTGTCGGTTATGCCATGACAGCAAACTTCGATTGTTCTTTGAACCAAGCATTAGATACATAGAGAAAAAAACATGTTTAAAAATCAGCACATTGGTATGGAATGAAAAGACAAAAGTCATCTTCGTTCCTGTTGTGGAAGATCACAGTGACAGGGATGAAGGAGAAGAAATCTCTACAAAGTAGTCATATTTGCGTGATATCCATTTTCTTTTCGAAATAGACTATTTGAGATGATTTTACTATCTCTGAGCAAATATTTTTATTAAATATGCGAAAACCTTAATAGACGAAGCAAGTTAGTCGATTTGTTGTAGTTGTTCTCAAATACCGAAGCATTTTTCACTTCAAAGCATAATGACAGTGAACGCTTCACGAATAACTAGTCTTTTCTTATTCTCTTTCCTTCATAACTGATGTTTTGCTGGTGTAAATGCTATAATGAACGTTATTACGCTCGGTTGTATTTGTGCCTGTCTGTTCGATGGATAAATAAAGTTTATACAAAACAAAACAAAACTAGTGAATACAGATCTTGTAGTTATTGCTAGTCAAAGCTGGACGAGTCTACAAGGTTCCGAGTTGGAGTCCTAGTCTGGTAATTACCCCAATTTATTTGATGTGGTATCAATGAAAATATAAATAATCAGTTTGTTTTTGGTGAAGAATTAGTTTGGTGGGATTTTAGTTCATGCATGGATTCATTACAGGTAATACATGATGTTTTGGGTAAAACAGAACAAAGAACATTATTTCATATTGAGTGTTTTCATGAAAAAATCATTAGAAAACATTCATTTTATAAAAAAGACAATGAAATATTGCTGATGTCGGCGACACAGTTTGAAATTATTAGTAAATCGTCACATGCATAAAGCCTTTTTATTGTTAATTTAAGAGCAATAATTACTCCGACACTTGTTATGTTGAAACCCGCCGCTGACTAGTAATTATAATGTTTCTACTAAGGTAGCTGTTGTTCTGTTGCCACAAGAATTTCAGAAAGATTCGTTTGTTAGCAGCGAGCCGAATGCGTAGAAAAGTCGAGAACCAAATGAGCTGTCAAAAACAGCTAAAAAACTTATAGAAGATTTGAGATTGAATAAATGGGCCCAAAGATCTAAAAAATCACTCAGTTGAAGAAGCAAAAGCCATCGCTGAAGCTTTGGAAATAAACAAAAGTATAAAATATGCACTATTTATATACGATAAATGTTTCAGTTGAAACAATTGATGTTTTTAATGCATTTAGATTAAATAACACAGTGGCTAGTTTATCACTAAACGCAACAGAAGGTTATCTACTATCGACGCCAGAAGTCAAGGCAGGTGGATGTTTTTTGAATAACTTCTGATAGGAACAAGATCGAGACTTGCGATTTTCAGTTTTGAAATCGAGACACCTGACCACATATTTCTGTAAGCAAATGCCAGAAAAACTTATGAAGCGGGTTTTTCAGAGGATCTTTGGAAAATTAGCTTGGATTTGCCGAAAGTCACATAGGAATGTATTGATTTTTTTTCATAGGCTGATAGCCCGGGGTGTTCTCTTCAAAATGGGAGTAAAGTGAGATCTTGATTTTCTGCGGTTCGGACATTGTACCGAATTTTCGACGAGTCCCAAGACTGGCACTCGATGACTCTTGGTAGCCTTAAAGACGGATGGACTATGGACAATCAACCATGCTGAGTCTCGTGACAATATTTGTTTTTAGAAAAAGTTTTAAGAATCTATCGAAAAGCCAGTTTTACGAAAATTAGGGTGTTCAGGCTGTTTTCACTCAATATTAAAAAATTCACTATTCACTTAAAAGACATCAGAACAAGCTCAAAACTTCAGAATGTAGAGTATTTAAGCTATTCTATCTCCTGTTTATAGG